TTATTTTTTGTTTGTCTTTTTCAGCATTTTCATAGGCAGCACTTTTTATTTTTTAAAATTTTTTATTATTTTTTTGACACCGAGTCTCACTCTGTCCAGGCTGGAGTGCAATAGCACGATCTCAGCTCACCGCAACCTCTGCCTCCTGGGTTCAAGCGATTCTCCTGCCTCAGCCTCCTGAGTAGCTGGGATTGTAGGCACACACCACCACACCCGGCTGATTTTTGTATTTTTAGTAGAGACTAAAAGTACAAAAGTATCGACCAAACCGTGTTGGTCAGGCTGGTCTTGATCTTCTGACCTCGTGATCCACCCACCTCAGCCTCCCAAAGTGCTGGGATTATAGGAGTGAGCCACCGTGCCAGGACTTTAGCACTTTTTAAAATCTGGTAAAATTTAAAATAAAACTACAAGTGCTAACATTTTCTTACCCACTTTGACAGACTACTGCTTGGGCAGTGGGGTCTATGGATTAGAGTAATCCCACACAGCTGGAGGCTTTAGGGAAGAATTGGTGTTTAAGATGGCCCTGAAAGGTTAGTGGGATTTCTAAGGCAGGATCCAAAGGAGGGCATGCCAGGCAGAGGAACACTGTCACAGAGTATCTAGCGTGTTTGGAAATGCAAGAAGTTCTGCTTGGCCTGACTGGGATGTAGGGTGTTTAGAAATGGCTGAGAAAGTAAGGTAGACTGTGTTGAGGAGAGCCTGGGTATTGGATAGGTGAGGTGAGTGAACTCAGGGCCCTTCAGATAGACTATTCTGACTGCTGTGTGCCTAGCAGGGAGAACGTATAAAGGAGGACATATTACAGTTAGACTGTGGTAACAGTCAGCAGGGAGGAGCCAGGGAAGATGATCTAAGGGCATCTGTAATCTCTTGGAACTGACCAAGCCGTGGACATCATCCTTCTGGTGGTGTCCATACCTTCTCTCATTTGGAATAACCTTTCTCACCAGACCCAGAATCTCTCCTGGGCTGCCTAGAGATTCTACCCTGCTGGTCCTACATGTGCTGTCAGCAAATTCTGGTCCTTCCTTAGACGGAAAGTGGAGGAGGAATGGGGTACTGGGGGGGTATCTGGAAGTCAATTTTTCTTTTGTCCCCTCCCCACAACATATGGGAGCCAGTATCTAAGCTAAATCTCTCATTCTAACCATAATCTAGAAACTTCACTGACCAATTATCTGCCCTTTCTGGGAATGGTCCTCCATATTGTTAGGGTACCTTAACTTTCTTTTCCAGATTAGTAGTCCCTCTTCTTCCAGTGTTGTATCCTCCCATAACCAATGTCAGCAACTCAGCTTTGGTTCCAGGTCACCAGTCTGGTGGAGTAGGGCAAGCTGACCTCTGCAACCAAGCTCTGACCCTGTCTCCTGCCTTCCTCCAGACAACCTCTCCTACATTGAGCACATCTTTGAGATCTCCCGCCGTCCTGACCTACTCACTATGGTGGTTGACTATAGAACTCGTGTGCTGAAGATCTCTGAGGAGGATGAGCTGGACACCAAGCTAACCCGTATCCCCAGTGCCAAGAAGTACAAAGGTAAGAGGCCATTCTTTTATGTAGCTGCACCTCTGCCCCGTCCCGTTGACTATTCTTGGAGTACTGGAGTTTTGGGAGAGGAGGCTGATGCCCAATGGGCCTGCCTGGCCATCTCCCACACTGCTGTCCCTGGACACATCCCTTTTTGCCCCCAGACATTATCCGGCAGCCCTCTGAGGAAGAGATCATCAAATTGGCTCCCCCACCGAAGAAGGCCTGAGCAAGGGGGAGGAAGAAGAGGAAGGTTGGACCTTCATCAGACCACTCCCTTCCCTCATCCTCCAAAGGAGGGGGCAAGGGCCCCCCCATCTACCCACTTACTAACCTGGTCCTAACCCCCTTACTGTGCGCGTGTGTGTGCGTGTGCGCACGCTCTGGCTGTCTGTCTATATGTCTAGCTCATCTAGTTCCTCCTCTTGAGGGGATGGGAGTCAGGGGCAAGGGGAAGGGGCTGAGTTTCCCCACTCTAGGAGGAGGTGGGGCCTATTTCTATGCAAATAGAAATCAGCACATTCCTCCTACTTCCCTTTCCTCCACTCTCCCCCCATATCTTTAAAGTGTGGAAGCAGAAAGGACCTGCATTTTCCTACATTGAGGAGCTAACGTGGGGGTAAGGTATGGGAGAGGTAGGTGGATCCAAGGAAAAGCGGTGGGGAGGGAAGGCGAAGAGGCCGCTCAACCCCCACCTGGAAGGGGCAAAGAAAAGCCAGCATTCCGTGTTTGTACTCCTGTGCTGGACTAGCTGTTTCCTGTTGTTCTTCAGGTGGGAGGGCTTGAGTGTCAGCCGGTCCCTTTCTGCCTCCCATGGGCCTAGCATAGGCATGAGCCAGGATCCTTACCTGGCCCCTAAGATTAAACCCCATGGAGCAGCCAGCATTAGATGCCCCACCCACCTGTACTTTGGAGAGACTGTACTGGGAACATGTACCACTGAGCCTGAGATGGGGATTAGGGCAGAGAGAGGGGAGCCCCCTTTTCCACTCAGTTGTTCCTAGACTGTTGCATTCTAAACCTAGGGAGGTTGAGGAATGAGATCCTTAGGTTTTAACCTGAATCCTGACCCCACCATCCTGTAGGGTCCCAACTTGGTTATTGCAGGCAACCTTCCCTCTCTCCTTGGTGAAGAACGTTAACTACAGTGTTTTCCTTTGCACCTATCCCCATCCCAATTCAGTCCAGGAAGGGACTTAGGAAACTCTTCTTTCCTAGATATCCTGGCCCCCTGGGCTTGTGAACACCACCTAGCCAAATCACTACAGAACAGAGTGACCCCAGCCTCCTGCCTACCCTTAAGTTGCCCCTCCCCACCCTGACCGTGCTAACTGTGTGTACATATATATTCTACATATATGTATATTAAAACTGCACTGCCATGTCTGCCCTTTTTGTGGTGTCTAGCATTAACTTATTGTCTAGGCCAGAGCAGGGGTGGGAGGGGAATGCCACAGTGAAGGGAGTGGCAGAATCAAATTGCTACAAGGTCCAAACAAAAAAGAAAGCTTTTTCAAAAAACATTAAATTCACATGCAGTCTCAGAGACTATTTAGAGAAAGTTGAAGTTAGGAGCTTTTAGGATGTGGGAGTAAAACTTTAATGGGAGGGGAGGGCTGGCTGCTGGGAGAAGGAAGAAGCCAGACTGGTTAGACAGTACTCTTAACTCCTAGCCCAGCCTAGCCTGCCCTGCCCCTCTGGCCACTGCTGCAGACACCTGCCTTAACACACACACCTCTAGGACTCCATGGTTTTGCCTTAAAGGACCTTCCCAAGTCTCTCTTTCCCTGTCTAGCTTCTCCCTTAAGAAGAGAGAGATACTTGCAGAATTGGGATGGAGGGAATGAACATGAACCGTTCTTCCATTTGGGATACATTACATTAGAGTGACAGAATAAGGAGCCTTTCTTATGGAAGAAATGGGAGAAGAGAGACAGGGTTATTTTCAGCAGAGTCTAGTAGTTTCTCTGTAAGGCAAAATAATCTTAAAAGACTAACGTGCCCACCCACTCCTTATATTGCTGTGAGATTGCCCCTATCTTGTGCTCTTCTGTCTGCAGTGTGCACGACCTTGTTCTAACCCGGAATAAAGGTGATTGATTGTACTGTAACTAACTGATTTTACAATTTCTGTGAGTGACCACGATTTTGGAGCCTTTGAATTACCAGGAAGGGAGGGGGAGCAGTATTTATGCCCATGTTCCTCAATGCAGCTCGGAACAAGGGCTGGGAAAATACCCCAAGTGTATACCCTCACCCCGCCCAGTCTCATGAGTATCCCTGAGCTAAATGGAGCATATCCTACTTCCTGCAGTCTCCAATTGGAGCCCAAGCACTGGAAATACGGGTCTTCCAAAATGGACTCCCTGACACTATATCATGTGTAGAATGAGGGGAAGATTGGGTACCTACGTTAGTAGGAGCAAAAACCATCCACTGTGAATAAATGGACCACATACCACACAGAGCAGCAGTTGGGGAGAGGAAAAGCTTTACTGGGAGAAAATACAATTCCAGAGCGCATGGTTTTTAGCCCACCCTATCACCCCACCAGCAACAGGAACAATAGGAACACAGACTACTCAATCACCACACATTCCCTTCCTCAGGGAGTCGGTACAGCAGCCAACATCTGGTCTGAGAGCTGCTGGGAAAAGGGGCAAGAGGAAGAAGTCTAGGAATACCATTCTCTCATTCTTCTCCCCTCCTTCCTGGCCTGATTTAGTAGAATCTGACTGTCCCAGGATACAGAATTCTTGATTGGATCTTTTGGAAACGGGGGGCAAAAAAATAGCAGCAAAAGCATTTAAGGGCAAGAATTCAGCTGGGACTTTTCAGACTCAGTGACCAGTGATTAAGACAAGTGCCCAGGCTCCAGCCACTGCAATCAGTCCTTAGATTAATGACTTGTTCCTCAATCCTAAAATATCAAGAGGTGGATAAGGTATAAGTCAAACCCAGGAAGTCTTTGCCTTCACTCTTCTGTAAAGAAGGGAACTAGCATGAATTTGGATGGCTTAAAGAATCAAGCAGCAAAAGGTGAGACAGAGTGTGTGTGTGTGTGTGTGTGTACACGTGTGTGGTGTGTATGTACATGTCTTCTGTCACAGTGTGTGTGTGTGTGTGTGTGTGTGTACACGTGTGTGGTGTGTATGTACATGTCTTCTGTCACACAGTACCACAATAGTCTGCAGTGGTGACACCACCCTAAAGTAGTTTAGTCAAGTTGGTTAAAAGAGCCATCCTTGGAACCCCGCCACAAGACTTAAGGAGATCTGAGGCAAAAAGCTGAGAGGAATTTCCTGTTTTTCCCAACCCCCACACCAAGGCAGGGAACCAGGAAGGGCAGAAATGAGGTTCCTTCCATTCTCGAGCCTCCTAAAACCTAAAGGGTAAGTTCCAATCTCTAATGACCATACACAGAGGTAAAATGACCCCAGGTGTCACCTCCACACTATTACTCTTGTTCACTCTTCAAGTCCCTTTATTGTATTCATAGAGAATATATAGGTATTTAAACTTTGACAATAATTTTACCTTGATACATCCAAGTTTGACTTGCTTTTTAATATATTTATAGATATAAAATTAGGCCTCTAACAGTGATAGGGACAGGGAGATTGCTGCCAACAAACAATATTTTTTAAAAAAATAACAGAAGAGGTAACATCCTTCCTATTCTTCCTTCGATTCTGCCCCTCCTCCCACCTCTCCCCAATCTCCTTCACCTGACCTGTTTAAGGGGTGACGGGATGAAGAGAAGAGAGTGAAGGATATGTAATCAAGTGCAAAACACTGTGATAAGTACAGAGAATGAATGAGGTGGAAGGGAAAGTGAAGAGTGTGGGATGGTTAGGGGCTTTAAGGACTTCCCAGAAAAATAGGATCCTGGGATGGGGTTGCTGAGGGGGAGAAAAAAACCCAACTGTCATAGACTTAAAAAAAAAACAAGAAAAGGTCAAAAACCTAAACCAAAGAGAGAGTGGCACTCCTACCCTCCACTCTGGCCCCTTGGTACTGAATAGCCAATTGTTCCCCCCACCCCCCCTGCCCAAGAAACAAGGGAGATTAAAGAAAAAGAAACCCCATTCCCTATCCCAAACCAGTTAACAAAATAGGCTTCCCTCTCCTCTCAAAAAGAGGCTTTGGGGAGAGGCCATTTCTGCTGAGTCCTATGCACCTCTCCATGAAGGCCCATACCAGGGCTCAACTCCCATTCCTAGGTACTCTGTGTTGGTTCACTCCTCTGGTTTGTCCTTTCTCCTGGGACGTCTTTCTTTTATCTAAAGCAAAAAGTCCAAAGTGCGTTTCTGCTGAATGTAGGGCCTGGGACAGGAAAGGGCTGCCCAGGCAGGATCGGGTTGGCAGCCCCAGCCCGCCCCACCTAGGTATGAGGCCTCAAGATGGCATGCATTGCACTCGGTCAGGGCCCTCCTCCTCGTCCGATGTGTCTGAGGAGCTGGGAGACTCATCAGAGTCCGCGTCTGTGGCCCCAACCCCAGGTTCTCGCCAGCGCTGTGGGATGGGAAAGGCTCGTTAGTAACTTCCCTGGATGGAACAAGGACAAGCCTGTTAGGTCTTAGCTAGAATTTAGATGCCTTAAGCCAGAGATCAGCAGAATTTTTCTTAAAGGGCCAGATAGTAAATATTTTAGACTTGTGGTCTATATGGTCTTTATGGCAACTCTTCAACTGTGCCATTGTAGCGTGAAGGAAGCCACAGATGATACACAGAATGGGTGTGGCCGCAACCAATGAAACTATTATTTACAAAAATGAGCAGCAGGCCAGCTGCCAGTTTGCCAACTCCTGACCTAGGCCTCTTTTGTCATAAGAAGAAAAATAGAAGGGTCACACTGAGACTTGTTATTTCTTCTCAGTTCCTTCCTCCACACTCCAGCCAGCCTTTGCCTTTATGAAGATAGCATTACACATGGATGGCAATGGATAAGAGTAGACACCACCCTTTTCTGCTGATGCTTCTTCCAAGACTGTATCAGGGATCTGATGGGGATAGAGGACAATGGATAGGAAATCCAACCAAGATCACTGGATTCCTCCTTAAACTCACTACTCTGGAACTTTTTAGCCCTCTTGAGAGGGTCACTTCCAACCCCAGCTTACCCGGTGGTGGCGTCTCTGTCTCAGGTGATGCATGAGGAACCACAGCATGTGACTATCAAACAGGTCAGTGTGGTGCAAGCTCTCTTCATCCCGATCCCGCTTGTTCTTCTTAATCACCTGGAACCCAAAAGGGTTGGGAACAGGGGGCAGCAATGAAGATGGACCAGGGACCTCATCAAGAAAGCTGATGTTCTATCCCAATAAAAGCTTCCCATTAAGTTGAAATGGAGCTAGATTAGATTAAGAAACAATGTCCTAGGTTCAGCCTCTGTGAAGGTGGCAGACTTTAACACAAAATAATTCTTGAAGATGCTCCTCATCCCCATCCTATTACAAATTAGTGCCACTTCACAGCTGCCCCCTGGAGCAGGACTATTCCTACAGAGGCAATTACAGGAGTGTGGGGGAGGGTGTTATAGTAGTGCCTTTAAAGAACTGGCAGCAAGTTATTCCTCCCTATGACAATGAAGAATCAACAGTATGTGGATAAGCAGAAAGAAGGTAACTTCTGCAGTCAGCCACTTACATCTTTTAACCCTGTCAGCTCAGTGGAAGCTTCAGCTGTGGGTGCCCAGATCTTCACATCATGGTCTAGGCCACTGGTCGCCAACACAGGCAGGTGAGGGTGGGGCTCAAGACAGTTTACCTGGTCAGGAAGAAAGGAAAACACAGACTTAGCAATGTGTGGGAGTAGGGTTTAAAAACCACTACTCACCTTGAGACAAACAATTGCCCTTGATCAGGGCTGAGGCAGCTGCTGGGGCAGCTGCTGGGGAAGGGAGGCCCGCCCATCCTGTGCCTAAGCCAAAGGGCACTGGGGGTAGAGAAACCAAACAGAGACTGGGTATGAGACCAGGCACATCAATCATTTTCTATGTATAGGTCAGGGGTGGCTTCATCCCCAGATACGGACCTAGGGGTGGGTGAGTGACTGCCCAAGCTTACTGCTGGTTTCACAAGAAGACAGTGAGATCCAGATGACCTTATTCAGTCCAGATTCCAAAGCTCCAACTTGCCCAAGGCTGGAAAAAAACCATCTCAGTGGCTTTTACCAAGTGGCAAATAAATTTTAAAAAATGAAGAAAGCAGCAGCTGCCAATGAACCCCCAGAGAAGAGTCGGAGAACAACTATATTCATTTGGCACTGTTTACTAGAACTGGAGGAAGGCACAGGCTGAGAAGAGGAAGCTGAGTTGCAAGGAGTGGTGGGAGTGATGGAGGCTCATGTCTGCTTGAGAGAACCTTGCATATCCCAGGGGACAACATCCTACTACCGGCCCTATAAGCTCAGCTACGAGGCAGCACATTAAGGAAGCTTCTTGGGGCTTCCACAGCCTCAATCTCAGCCACCCTCTGGGTAAATTCACTGAACAGGGCAGAAGAAATAAACTATAGCAGGCAGGCCTTCGAGCTTAGGCAGCTTCCTTCTGTCTGAAAGGCATCCATGCCCCCTGCTGTCTGACTTGGAAACATGAGCTTCCCCCTAAGGGAAAGGCAGGGAAGTTGCTACCCCATTCAGAAGAGCTGGTCCCAGATCTAGCTGCTAAAGCATTTTGAGTCTTTTAGTGAAAAAAGGAACACGTACGAAAGGCACCCCACCTTGCAGCTGCCCTATAGTCCAAGAAAACAACTGCTTTTAGTTCTCTCTGGACCAACTGAGAAGAACATCTGAGAAGAGGTCAGGGGCAGGCATGGAAAATAGGGCTGACCTACAGACTTCCCACTTTCTTTGACTTCCATCTTACACATAAACAAATGCTCAGAAAAGACTGAAGCTAAGACTGAGCCTATGAATAAAATAGAAACCCAATTCTTTATCTCCTCCTCGCATTCCACATTATCAGCGTATTGTGAAGTTTATCTTTGGGCTTTTTTAGGCAGTGCAGTTAAACTCTAATGCTTGGACTAGTGTATCTATCTACAGTAATGGACAATTTACACATACAAACCTGAACTTTTTCATCCATCTCCTAATAAGCCCTTGTTACAAACCTGTACTCTGCTTGAATAAGTCAGCAAAATAAAAAAGCACAGGGGAACAATTCCTTGGAACTTAAGGCTAAGGAAAAAGCCAATGGCAAGAGGAACAAGAGAATGACATACAGTACCTGAATTGGAGCCTGCAGGGGGAGCCGATAGAGAATTTCTGGGCCAGAGTACCTGGTCACGTCACCAGACCTGTCTGAATGCCAGGACTTATCCTGTCAATAATGCCTGAGCAGAGAAAAGAGCTCTGGCCTTAGATGACTGGGCTGGAGGAATGTAGAGAATGGGATCAAGCATCAAAGTGCTCTTGGGAGACTAAGGGGTTGTCCTCTGATACCACCCCCGACCCTGTCCCTGTGAAGCTGAATGGGAACAAAGAAAAGATCCTCAAATCAGAGTCAGGAAACCTGAGAAAGGTAGAAAATAGCTTCTAAGATCTTTTCTGGTTCTAACATTCTACTTTACATTTACAATTTCCATGACATAGAACTGCTGAGTCTACTACACTGAGACTAGTGCCTGGTGACCCCCACTGCTGGAAAGTTAGGACAAAAAAACAGAGGGAGCCAAGTGAAAGACCACATCAATCATTCAGCTTACACAGAGACAAGAATATGTAAGGAAATTTGCTTCAGGGGTAGTCTCTATATCTCCTGTTCTAATCACTTACTCTTAGGACCACTAAAATTTAGGCCTGGAGCCCACCCATTCCAAGTAGATGCCTTCCCCACCTCGGCAAATGGGTTAATCATCAAACATTGGGACTGGCTGAGCTAAAAGCAAACTGGCCTGCAGAATGCTTTTGGAGAATGGACAAATGCTGGCCTGGGAGAAGGCATTCAGCTCTGCACCTCTCTAGAACAAAATGCAAGACAATAGTTTATGTCAAGAAAAAAATTCACTGGCCCCTTCTGACTTCCTTTCTCTAAATGCCTATTGCATAATTCCCATTAAGACTCAAGGGTTTTGGGTTCGTTCACTGCAGATGACACAGGGGACCTATGGAAGAGTAGGAAATGAAGCAAGAAAGAGTGAGACACACCTTGAACTTCTAGACTCCTCTCCATTTGTATTCAAACCATAAAAGCCCTAGATCTATGAAGGTCTCAGGTTCCAAAAATTTAGAGGAAACCAGAAGAAAATTTGAAATACCCTTGTACCAGGGCAAGAAAAACATAAGGAATGGGATCCTGTTTGCAAGGAACCATCCTAAATTCTAAAACCACTCTCTGAATAAACCTCATCAAGAGATGGCTAGGCTCTTTGAAGTTCCCCACAACTAAGAAGGAATAAAAAGGAAGAAAGACCAAGCTGTTTCAGTCATTACTTAGAGGCCTTGGGTAACCAGACTATTTTGAACAATCAGTATAATTTAGTCTTCCAAACTGTCTTTTTCCCATCTCCTGTGGTCCAAAAACCTTACAACAGAAAGCAATTGAACTCTTTCCTAACTCTAGGTCTCAAAAATGAAAAAAGAAAAAAAAAAAAAAAGGTTAACCAAATACATCTTAAGAGCTGATCACTCTTCATTCACTAACTCGATTCTCACTCTTCCTTTTTGCCCTAACTTCACAGAGGTCTGCAGAACTCAAAGGACAGGCAGACTATGATATGATCATGGGTTATATAGCAAACAGGCTGCTCAGCACTAAAAATTGCCATATTTGCTTTCTCTTTACATGTACACATTATGTGTGTTTATCTATTTGAATGTAAGCATGACACTTCACCCCTAAATACTTCAACAAGTATCTCCTAAGTACAAGGATATTCTCCTACATAAGTAATCACATCAAATAAATTTGATACTGAGTACCATGTTATCTAATATATAAACCATATTCTGACTTTCTCAACTGTTTAAAAAATGCTCTTTATAGCTTTTATCTGCTAACCTAAGATCCAGCCAGATCACTACTTAGTTAAGGGAAGAGAGATGGAGAAATCTTTAGCATAGTGTAGGAGGGTGCACCCTAACACAATGCTTTTTCATTTGGAAAAGGTGCATGCCTAGAGATAAGTTACATCACAGGACAGAGGTTCTTCCCTAAGATCCCTTTCTTGTCTTAGTACACTATGCTTTACAGGGACTGAAGATAGGAGAAGGAATAAAATACTCCATCAAAAACTCAGCACCCCAGGCTATCCAGCCTTTTAATTTAGCTGGCTGGACCTCTAAAACATGGTGTCATGTAGTCACAGTGAGAATTCAGTGTCCCTGCTAAAACCTACCTTAATGCCTGGAGAGACTATGGAGCCAGCCAGCTCAGCACACCATACTCACCACGCCTCCCTTGTCCCCCTCCATGAACTGAATAATCTGGCAGGATGATTTCTCCCAGAGGAAGATGTGCCCACAGTCACTACCGCTCACCACAAACTCACTCTTGGGGCCATAGAAATTGACGCCTTTTACTGAAATGATAAATGAGGGAACAAACCACATGAGGGTTGGCGTCAGGCCTACATATATTCATCTCAAAGGGAATTCAGTTATTCACTAACTCTAACTCAGCTGAGGGCTGAAAAATTACTTTCATTTTCACAAAACAAATCAAGAGATTATGCATGTTTAATAGACAGTTATAAGAATCATAACAGTCCCAGAGATGATTTATATTCTCCCAAAGAGCTCCTTAGGGCAGAGGAATCTGCAGTCCTTTAGCAGCAGTCTCAGTCTTACTAAGTTTATACCCTATCAAGCACCCACAGGCCTCCCTAATGCCTTACCTGTCCCACCCTGAATCGTCCCAGCTCTGCCTACTCTTAGGCAGCACTGTCTTATGCCCTAGGATTATCTTTGATATGTGGACCTCATTGGTACCTTGTCAATGTTTTTGGGGTCGTCAGTTGATCTGAGACTGATGAAGGTATATGCCACAACTGCCTCTAAGAAGCAAGTGATCTGTGCTTGTTACCGTTAACAGGACTCTACTCGTCACAATCAGTACAAGAAACCAAGAGTTCCAACTACTATGGTCAGTACAATATTGGCCATGAAACTGGCACCCTTCTTGTATCTGCCTGTGTGCTGAGATCCAAGAATAGATTTTTCCCTCCCTCCTTACCAGCTCAGGAAAAAAAATAATAAAACTAATCTTCTGCTATCTCCAAGACAAAATCATGACAGGTATCTGTTAGGAGTGGTAACAACAGAGTAGTGATTCCTCAGCTTTTCTGAACACCAGAATCATGTGGGCAGTTTAAAAAAATCTCAATGCCCAAGTTGCACCCCATACCTATTAAATTAGAATATATGGGGTTAAGGCCAGACTGTTATGCTTGGTGACTCATGTCCAGCACTCTGGGAAGTCAAGGCAGGCAGATCACTTGAGCCCAGGAGTTGGAGACCAGGCTGGGCAACATGGTGAAACCCTGTCTCCAAAAAAAAAATACAAAAATTAGCCACAGGTAGTGGCCTATGCCTGTAGTACTAGCTACTCGGGAGGCTGACGTGCAAGGATCACCTGAGCCCAGGAGGTTGAGGCTACAGTTGCCTGGGAGGTCAAGGCTGCAGTGAGTCATGATTGCATCACGGCACTCCAGCCTAGACATCAGAGTAAGAGTGTCTCAAAAACACAAAACAAAACAAAATACATCAGGGATTCCAATGTGCCCCAGAGTTTGGGAACCATAGACATGGAACAAAACAGGCCAATCTTGGGCTAGGTACTACCACCATTCCTCCTCTTCTGCCTCATCTAAAAGAATCGTTTACTCCTCCCTCCTAAAGGTACAAGGTCACTCCCTATTTTAAGCAATTCAGGACCACTGACTAAAGAGGGCTTTCCCTGACTCCCTGACAAGGCATTTATGCTTATTTTGAAGTTACCTGAAATCTAAAAAACAGTTAGTCTTATCTCCTTATGTCCAAACCAATTAGAAGCAAACATTATTGCAGTGTCAAGAGATGCTCTTGAGAGCTTTCTCCTCTAGCATAGCAGAGAAAACATGGAAACTCCAGCCCAGTTCAGGATAATCGCTCAGTGCCCATGGCAACACAGGCAGCCTACTCCTTAGGTAGTTTCTATTTGTATAACCTGAGTAAGACACTGTGGTTCTCCAAAGCCAATAGACTTGGGCCACAGAAACCTAGGAAGACAGTCTCACCTGTGGCATTATTTCTGTGGCCCTTATATCTCTTAACATACTGGGCCCCATCACTGTGAGAGGAGTTGAAGAGGTAAATGTCTTCATCATTGTAACTGGCCAGGAGCTCTGCCAAGAACAAGAACACAGCAGTGAAGGCAAAGGCTGAAAAGCAGGAACCAGGAGTTGGGGTTGGGTTGGGGCTTCTTGCCAGTAGTGCCCCCTCCAAATACCCAGGTATAGCACCCATCTTATTTATTTGGAACACCAGGCAAGTCAGACTGTACAGGGTAGACTAGGAACACACTGCCAACCCAGGGGCAGCAGAATACTCAAAAAGATCATACCCATTAACTCAGGAATGAGTCAAAGGCATAAGAACCTGCTCAGGCAAGTAACCTGGGCTTTAGGACAGGCCCTGCCAAGTATCATCTGCAGCATTCTGCAAATGGTACCTGGCATCTCCAAGGGTCATCTGCTGTATCCTCCCGCTATGTGCTCACCATCAGCAGTTAATCCCCAGCTGCTCCACTTGGAGCTATAGCACAGTGGTGAGCACTGGAGGGCACATGCCTCACTGGCTCAGCAGCTCCCTAGACAGAGGGGGCATGCCAGCCTAGGAGCTGGGCCCTGCTCACGTACCTGTGCCGTCGTGGCTGTACACAAGACAGGTGATGTTTGCTTTGGACTCACTGTTCACCTGCAATAAGGAGCAGATACTGACTGATGCCCCACCCCCCCATTTGTTATACCATCTTCAGGAAACAGCTTTTCCTTCAAAGTCCCCTATATCTTCTCCCAGAGATTTGAGAAAGACAGACAGAGACAAGAGTATAACTGATGAAACATGACCACCTCAGGGGGTAGCATCTTGGGGTTTTCTCTTCCTTGTCATCTGTTTGCTGGCCATTTTTTGTACACTGTCTCATTAGGCCTCACCATCAAGGTGCATGGCAGTTATTTTTATTTCTATTTTGTTGATTAAAAACTGAGACTATCTGAAGTGAAATGACTGCCAAAATCACAAAGCTGGTAAGTGGTAAAGCCAGGATTCAAATCCAGATGACTGACTTGAAAGTCCAAGCTATTCCCACCATACCCCCAAGTTCAAGTGTAGCCTTGGGGTCGAGTCAGGGAAGCCTGGAGCAACTGGCCCTTCATGAATCTTACCAGGTGATGAGGGCAGAACTTCTTAAGTACTCCATTGTTCTCATTCTCATCAATTTTCCTCTGGTCATAAATCCTGTGGTTGGAAAAGCAATGAAAATATCAAAATTTAAAAACGAATCCCTTAAAGGACTGCAATTTGATGTAGTGGCAGGAAACTGCCAGCTGCATGTAGATTAACAACATTTTCCAAACCAAGCTTCTGGTACATGCTCTTGCTTAAAGGCCGGTCCTTTCTCAATCCATTTCCAAACCCTAAATCTCTCCCCTTTTTTTTTTTTTTTGAGACAGGGTCTCACTCTGTCACCCAGGCTCACTGCAACCTCCACCTCGTGGGTTTAAGTGATTTTCCACCTCAGCCTCCTGGGTAGCTGGGACTACGGGCACAAGCCACCACGCCTAGGTAATTTTTGTATTTTTAGTAGAGACAGGGTTTCACCATTTTGGCCAGACTGGTCTTGAACTCCTGGCCCCAAGGGATCCGCCTGCCTCGGCCTCCCAAAGTGCTAAGATTACAGTCGTGAGGCACTACACCCGGCATTAAACCCTAAATCCTTCATCGATGTATTTCCCATTTTAAGTGGCAATCCTCAATTCTGTCAGGTTGAAGTGGTTTCTCTCTCTCAAGTTTTAAATCACATACTGCTAATTTTCAATGAAACAACATTAGTATACAGCCTTTTATGTGTATGTTACCTACTGAAAAGGGTTACTCATGGGTAGAAATCAAACTTAAGGTAAGTCAGTGGGTCTGTAATCCCTCCTTGAAACCTTACTTGGCCTGTTCTCCCTCTTATATACCACAATAATTATTACAAACCACCACCCATATCCTCAAGACTCCCTCTCCTTACCTCTTTCTTATCAAGCACACTACCTTCACGTTCCTTCCTCTAAGGCAAGCTTTAAATTCAAATATTTATGACACATATATTACGCATCAAATATTATGCTAGGTGCTAGAAATACAGTGATGAACAAGACAGATCCAGTATCTGTCTTCACCCAGTCTCCTCCAATCTCAGAGCCTCTCAACAAATGTTCTTCATTTCATCTTTCCAGGGACCTTGTTTGATGGTCAGCTCATTTCTCAACCTCTTCCTCATCACCATCTGGCCACTTTCTAAAAATCCTTCTACTGACTGTCCTTTCCTACTATTGCTTTTTTTCTCCTTCCCCTTACAATCATATTACTGTGAAGAATGATCAACATTCAGTATTTCCACTTCCTTACTTCCTATTCACTTCTCAGCCCGTCCTAATCTGGTTTTGGTCCTCAGCTCACCACTGAGACTTCTCTGGCTGAAGTCGTCAGTTAATTATATACATTTGTCAAGTAGATTTAAGTCTAGAACTCAGAAAAAGTGTGGTTTGGAGACAGATGTAAGTCATATATCCATGTATAGGTGGTAGTCAAAGCATTGGTAATGGAATTAGATCTCCAATGGAAAACAGTGGATTTTCCCTTCCTCCTTTAGAATCTCTGGCCTCTTTCAGAATGTAATAAAAACTATAGTCCCTTTTCCCCAGAAAAATGCACATAAACACCCTTTCTGGAGGTTCACATAATACTTGTACTTCAAGTTAAAATTCTCTAGTATAAATTAAGATGACAGCTGAACACTGAGCTACTAGAGAACATCAGCATTTAATGGTTGGACAAAGGAAGACAAACCCATGGACAGCACTGAGGAGTGGCTGGACATCATCAAGGAGAGAAGGTGTTTCAGGGAAGAAGTAATAAACAATGTCAGGAGTAGAGAAAAAGACTTGAAAAGTATCTTGTTGGCTTTGGCAGTTAGATTACTGATGACTTAAGCCTTCACCTCACTGGCTCAAATGACCCTCCTACCTCAACCTCCCAAGTAGCTGGGACTCCAGATGCACACCCCCATGCTGGGCTACTATTTTTATTTTCTGTGGAAACAGCATCTGCCTAGTGTGGCCTCAAACTCCTGGCCTCAAGAGATCCTCCTGCCTCAGCCTCCCAAAGTGCTGGGATTACAGACCTGAGTCACTACGCCCCAACTATTTATTAATAACCTAATATATTCTACATATGATGCTAGAACAGGGTTTGGCAAACTTTTTCTTAAAGGTCAAGATAGTAAATGTTTTAAGCTGGTAAACCGGCAAATCATTTCATCTCTATTATAACTACTGAATTCTACTACTGTAGCATCAAAGTGGTTACAAACAACATGTAAAGGAAGGCATGGCTGTGTTCCAATAAAACTTTATTTATAAAAACAAGCAGTACAGTTTGTCAAGCCCTGTGATAGACAGTAGTCATAGAAAGATTAATACTAACTTTCCCACTATTTTCTGAACATATAACAGGCTTTGACAGTTTATATTTTACTTTATTTTCATTTTTACTTATTTATTTTCTTTTCCTTATTTATTTATTTATTTATTTTTGAGACGGAGTCTTGCTCTGTCGCCAGGCTAGAGTGCAGTGGCGCAATCTTGGCTCATGGCAACCTCCGCCTCCTGGGTTCAAGTGATTCTTCCGCCTCAGCCTCCCAAGTAGCTGGGACCACAGGCGCATGCCACCACACCCAGCTAATTTTTGTATTTTTAGTAGAGATGGGGTTTCACCTTGTTGGCCAGGATGGTCTCGATCTCTTGACCTTGTGATCTGCCCACCTCGGCCTCCCGAAGTGCTGAGATTACAGGCGTAACCCACCGCGCCCGGCCTACTTATTTATTTTCTTTAAGACTCTGTCATCCAGGATGGAGTGCAGTGGTGCAATCACAGGTCACTGCAGCCTCAAACTCCTGGCTCAAGAGATCCTCCTACTGCCTCCCAAATAGTTGGGACTATAGGAGCATACCACCACACCTGGTGGTATTTAATTTACTAAAAATTATTATTATTTTTTGAGACAAAGTCTCACTGTTGCCCAGGCTGGAATGCAGTGGAGTGATCTTGGCTCACTGCAATCTCTGCCTCCCAGGTTCAAGCGATTCTTCTGCCTCAGCCTCCCAAGTAGCTGGAACTATAGGAGTGCACCACCATGCCTAGCTAATTTTTATATTTTTAGTAGAGGCAGGGTTTCACCACATTGGCCAGGCTGGTCTTGAACTCCTGACCTCATGATCTGCGTGCCTCGGCCTCACAAAGTGCTGGGATTAAAGGAGTGTGCCACTATGCCCAGCCTAAAATTTTTTCTTGAATTTTCTTCTGGTAGACATGGTCTTGGTCTATTGCCTACGTTGGTCTTGAGCTCCTGGCCTCAAGCTATCCTCCAGCTTTGTGGCCTCCCAAAGTGCTCTAGTTTTATAGTCATGAGCCATCACACCAAGCCCCCTAATTTTAAGTCATGTAAGGAATAGTTTTAGCATCCTCTCCACACCTTTACCACATTTCTTCCCACACGCCTTCAGGCACCCACTAACTTGTTAACCTAAGTCTCTCTTTTGTACCAGCCTTTAATCTAATATTCTCTCAGTGTTGCTGATTTTGGCTTAAAAACTGGGGAGTGGCCAGGCATGGTGGCTCATGCCTGTAATCCCAGCACTTTGGGAGGCCGAGGTGGGCAGATCACCTGAGGTCGGGAGTTCAAGACCAGCCTGGCCAAAATGGAGAAACCCTGTCTCTAGTAAAAAATACAAAATTAGCCAGGCATGGTGGCAGATGCCTGTAATCCCAGTTACTCAGGAGGCTGACACAGGAGAATCGCTTGAACCCGGAAGGTGGAGGTTGCGGTGAGCCGAGATCATGCCATTGCACTCCAGCCTGGGCAATAAGAGTGAAACTCCATCTTAAAAAAAACCCCCAAAAAAACAAAAACAAAAAACCGGGGAGTGAAGAGATGATTTACTGACTATGCTTCATAAATCAGGGCCTATATCTAATGCTTTAACAATAAATTTTCATGTCGGCCAATCACACTGCCAAATCTACCACTAAAGGATTCATCTGACATATTCTCCTTTTAATGTTTTTTTTTTTTTTTGAGACGGGGTTTCACTCTTGTTACCCAGGCTGGAGTGCAATGGCGCGATCTCGGCTCACCGCAACCTCCGCCTCCTGGGTTCAGGCAATTCTCCTGCCTCAGCCTCCTGAGTAGCTGGGATTACAGGCACGCGCCACCATGCCCAGCTAATTTTTGTATTTTTAGTAGAGACGGGGTTTCACCATGTTGACCAGGATGGTCTCGATCTCTTGACCTCGTGATCCACCCGCCTCGGCCTCCCAAAGTGCTGAGACTATAGGCTTGAGCCACCGTGCCCGGCTCCTTTTAATTTTTCTAATTTTTAAAAATTAATTAATTTTTTTTTTCTTTTAAAGACGGGGTTTCACCATGTTGGTCAGGCTGGTCTTGAACTCCTGACCTCAGGTGATCTGCCCACCTTGGCCTCCAAAGTGCTTGGATTACAGGTGTGAGCCACCACGCCCAGCCTTTTTTTACTCCTATAAATTCTTAAAACTAAGCTAAACAGGAATTAGCTTAGCTTAACTGGTGTAGTAGGGACTCACACCTATACCTCCTCCACTTGCCTACTTTTTTTTTTTTTTTTTTTTGGGGCACAGGCCAAAAAGCATGTCTCCCCAGAGCTCCCCTTAAATACTTAATAACCCTAAACTAAAATTCAGTATTAATGATGCAAAGCCTTGAAGATAAGTAAGTTATTTCTCTGTATTCCCTTGAAGTAATTCCTTTAGGCTAGGAGTAAAAGTTAATGGTGTTATGGTATAAAATATTCAGCACAAATGTTTTCAAATTTATACCTGAAGGTGAGCTGTTCAGGTTCTTTCAAAGAAAGAATAAGAAAGGAGAAACCTCAAAACATTCGGTTGGCTGAACAGAAGAGGTGCCAAAGAAGTTGAGTGTAACCTAATGTCAGAGAAGAGCTGGAGTGCTTAAAGGGCTACCTGCTCACATAGGATCAGTATGCCTCAAAATCTTCAAGTAGCCAAGCGCAGTGGCTTACGACTGTAATCCCAGCACTTTGGGAGGCTGAGGCAGGCGGATCCCTTAAGACAGGAATTTGAGACCAGCCTGGCCAACATGGCGAAACCCCATCTCTACTAAAAATACAGAAATAGCTAGGCACGGTGCCGTATGCCTGTAATTCCAGCTACTTGGGAAGCTGAAGCATGAGGATTGCTTGAACCTGGGAGGCAGAGATTGCAGCGATGGAGCCAGTACACTCCAGCCTAGGCAACAAAGTGAGACTCTGTCTCAAAAAACAAAACAAACAAACAAAAAAACAACTTTTTTTTTTTTTACATAACTTCTGCCAAGTAAATAGCCAATAGAGGATATGAGGCTGATAAGAGACAGATTTGATTTCTCCTTGTGTTGAAACGCTAAAATTCTAAGCCGTACTCTAACCCTGAGAAAGTATCAGCTTTGGGTTAAAACATTATGAACTACATTTCTCAATACAGCAAACTCCTACATTCCCCCCCAAACATCTTTGTTCTAGTGGAATTCGCTAGAGACAGACTTTTCAAGTAATTTGGAACTCTAAGTAGGAACTCCCAATTAGAAATTTCAGTGAATGCTCAACTTGGAGGAGGTAGCAACTGAAAATCTGTACAACTACAAGCCTTCTTGATCAACAGCTTCTTATCTAAAAAGAAAAAATCTATTGCGACATACTTGAGGATTGTTGGTGACTAGAGGAAACAAATTTTGAAGGCATGGGAATAGAGGAAGAAGAAAGAAACAAGGTTTTGTCAAGGATTCTTGAACAAGGTAAAGTCATCTCTCATGTATTTTCTAAAAATTTACCCTATTCCCTATGATTCTTCTTAATAAAACGCATGTGGAAATACAGCTATAAAATGTGCTCTCATTTCAAAAGGAAGATGATGCTTTTCACTTACCATTAGGAAAGCAAAAAGTCACTCTTTTTTTTAGTGATCTTGTCCCTCTCTCCTCCTTTCAAACTGATGATCCCAAAGAAACATTGTTAAAATAGGCCAACTGGACAGGGATGAATACAGCTTATTACTAAGGGTCAGAGGAAATTAACTAATACATATGAAGATTGAATCCACGGTGTCTGTTTCCCTTAGGTCATGTTTCTCAAGAACCAGTGTTAACAAAAGGTGTTCACAGTAACAAAGATATCACCATGGATAAAGAAAAGTGGTAGCTCAGGATAGTGAAAGCCAAAAAACCCTCAGTTCACACTAAATGCTCCCAAGTCAAACTATTTCTGAATTGAAAACCAGTATTTAAAATTTCTAGTGCATGTTTATTTATGTATGAAAATGGTGAAGATTATTTACTAATACAGCACTTGCTCGTAAACCTAAATTGATGCCTTAGCTGCTATGTGAGGACCTTGGTTAATTTATCTAACTTCTTTTTTTTTTTTTTTTGAGAGAGAGTCTTGCTCTGTCATTCAGGTTGGAGTGCAGTGGCATGATCTTGGCTCACTGCAACCTCTGCCTCCTGAGCTCAAGTGATCCTCCTGCCTCAGCCTCCTGAATAGCTGGGACTACAGGCATGTACCACCACGTCAACTAATTTCTGTATTTTTAGTAGAGACGGGGTTTCACCATATTGGCCAGGCTGGTCTTGAACTCCTGACCTCATGATCTGGCCTCCATTGCCTCCCAAAGTGCTGAGATTACAGGTGTGAGCCACTGCACCTGACCATCATCTAACTTCTTTAAAACTGGATAATCTCTAAAATATGTAAAGCCACCCCTCAGAGACTGTTAATTATAAGAGAACAGAATATCTCAAAAGGCACATAAGATGTTTGGAAAATGGTAAAAAATTCAAGATAATAGTTAATGGATTTCTAGAAAATTCATAACTCTCCATAATGGAGCATCTGGTAATATATAATGCATCAGTCTTATAAACTGTAAAAGACACAAAAGAGCCACAAACTCACCTTACAAATTGATCTCGTCCGCCCACTGCAAACTGGTGGGTATTGGCAGGATTCACATAGATTGTATACAGCCCCACTTTCTTCTCTTTCTCTTTTGTCACCACCAGTTTCCTTTAAGAGTAAAAGACACAGAAAATTATTTCCTCCAAAAGATCCAGATGGTCATGGCAAGGGAGAGCTAAGAGAGTAACATGGCTAATAAGAAACCAAAGAGACTCTCATTTGGAAAGAAAGAAGTGTTGTTTTAACAGGAAAATGCATACATTTATTACATAACTTTGGGGATTAAGGAAAAAAAACATGTAGTGAAGTCACTTTCTAGTGTTCCTTAAAAGGCATAAGGTAGGCCGGGCACAGTGGCTAAAGCCTATAATTCCAGCACCCTGGGAGGCTGCAGCAGGTGGATCATGAGGTCAGGAGTTTAAGATCAGACTGGCCAACATGGTGAAACCATGTCTTTACTAAAAAAAGAAAAATACAAAAATTAGCTGAGCATGGTGGTTCATGTCTGTAATCCTAGCTACCTGGGAGGCTGAAGTAGGAGAATTGCTTGAACCAGGACGCGGGAGGCAGAGGTTGTAGTGAGCCGAGATCGCGCCACTGCACTCCAGCCTGGGCTACAGAGCAAGACTCCATCTCAAAAAAAATAGCATCAACTAAAGGTATATGAATGTACCACTCTTCAGGAAGCCTGTTTAGCTGGAGTCCAACACAGTAACAGCCAGTCATTAATCAGACAATGCTACCCATACCTTCCTACCCTTTATGTATAAGTACGTCTTCCCGATCACCTGGGACCAAGGAGAGAAGTGGAGGAAGAATCACAGAAACAGTAGGCTAAAAAAGACCTTAAGGTCAGAGTCTATCTCTCAGATTCCATTAAAATGTCACTTAAAGCCAGGCATGGTGGCTCATCCCTGTAATCTCAATACTTTGGGAGGCCGAGGAGGGCGGGTCACTTGAGGCTAGGAGTTTGAGACCAGCCTGCCCAACATGGCGAGACCCCATATCTACTGAAAATACAAAAATTAGCCAGGTGTGGTGACATGTGCCTGTAATCCCAGCTACACCAGAAGCTGAGGCAGACGAATCACTTGAGCCTGAGAGGTAGAAGTTGCAGTGAGCAGAGATCGCGCCACTGTATTCCAGCCTGCACAACAGAGCAAGACTCTGCCTCAAAAAAAAAAAAAAAAAAAAAAAAAAAAAAAAAAGTCACTTAAAACCCAACTTAAGCCAGGCACAGTGGCTCATGCCTGTAATTCCAGCACTTTGAAACTAGCAGTTCGAAACCACCCTGGGCAACATAGCAAGACCCCATATCTCTATAAAAAATAAAAAATTAGCTGGGTGTGGTAGCATGCACCTGTAGTCCCAGCTGCTCAAGAGGATGAGGTGTGAGGATTGCCTGAGCCCAGGAGACTGAAGCTGCAGTGAGCCATGATCTTGCCACTGTACTTCAGCTTAGATGACAGAATGAGACCCTGTCTCAAAAAGTAAAAAAATTAAAAACCCAGCTTAAAATATGCACACTGAAAGCTGATAAATTTTCATTGAAGAAATCCAGAAAAATCTGGCTAAACAGCCACAACTTGTTCCAGGTTAAGGGTGGCATGATGAATATTCTCAGATCTAAGCATTCAACCAGTCAAATACGACATCATATAATGAAGATTGGTAAATTTACAAGACTTCAAGAAACTATAGGAAGAGGCTTGGCTTTAGCTTTCAAGTCTAAGGTTTTATTTATTTCTGATGCTATGGGAACGGAAAGAAATATAACCATGACAACAAGTTTCTTCGTAAAGAAATGATTTTAGCATCCTTTCTGAATAGTCAAAGTCACTTCAGCCTAGAACTGTTCTAGGCAAAGTGGAGATTTTTTTTACTTAATATCTCTGCAGCTTTTCATTAAATGAATACAGGCCAGGCGCAGTGGCTCACCCCTGGAATCCCAGTACTTTGGGAGGCCGAGGAGGGTGGATCACCTGAGGCCAGGAGTTTGAGACCACCCTGGCTAACATGGTGAAGCCCCGTTTGTACTAAAAATACAAAAAATTAGCTGGGCTTTGATGGTGTACGCCTGTAATCCCGGCTACTCGGGTAGCTGAGACAGAATTGCTTCAACCTGGAGTGCAGAGGTTGCAGTGAGCCAAGATCACGCCATTGCCACTCCAGCTTGGGCAACAAGAGTGAAACTCTGTCTCAAAAAAAAAAAAAAAAAAATTAAATAAACGAAATGAATGAATGAATACAGAAGACCAGGTGAAGTGCCTCATGCTTATAATCCCAGCACTTTGGGAGGCTCAGGTGGGAGAAGTGTTTGAGCCTAAGAGTTCGAGACCAGCCTAAGCAACACAGATCCCATCTCTATTTATTTTGAAATTAAAAAATAAAAATAAAAAAATACAGAGGCCACTGATTATGAACGTCATTAGGGGAAACCTCCATCCCCCAACACACGTACACCTCAAAAACACAAGCCAGGAAACATGTCAAAAGAATAACAGCTTCAGGGACAAAACTAAAAGACCGCTCTAATATGAGTTTTAGACAGGGAAAGAGTATGAGCTGATGCTACTCCTCCCCACAGGACTATCTTATTTCCTCAGCAATTTGAAATTTCAGAAGGACAGGGTCTAACAAATACTAAAGTTACCACGTGGAAGCAAAATGAAGAAACTAAGGAATAGATTATGAAGTACTGGCTCTACAGTTATGTAATCCTGACGAAGAACTCAATCTTTCTATGCCTCAACATAATCCCATAAAACAAACTCTCCTGATGCGTAAATGCAGAGTACCTTGAGCTCTGCAGGGGACATGCAGAGGTCCTACAAAAATGATTATCATGGCAAAAGGAGGAAAAAATGTTCACATTAGAGGAAACCACATGAAACAAATTCACAAATTTTGCCTTAAAAGTAATGAGCACATATGTCCCAGCAAAAAGGGAAAAACAATTACAGATTAGACCACAAGATTTCTTTGAAGAATACCTCAAACTGGCTTCCACTGGCTGAAGGAATATTCCACCTATAGTTTCAAATCAAACTCTTTTCCTAAGATGTTAGTTTCCTAAGATGTTAGTCAGATTCGGCAATTATCATATATATACAAAAGAAAAACTCCCCAATGCCAACTTCACACAAAAATGCCTCTGAGAAGATCATGCCACTGCATTCCAGCCTGGGTGACAGAGTGAGACTCCACCTCAAAAAAAAAAAAAAAAAGAAAAAGAAAAAAAAAATGCCTCTGACATAAGCAAATGTTCAGCCTTTCACCCCATTCCAGCCTGTAACACTACTTTAACCCTTACAACAAAAACTTTAAAGACTCACTGTCTTTATTACTCAAATCTAGATTTGGGCCTCCTTCTAATCTTTTCTCCTTGTTCCCCTCTTTAGATTCTATTCCACCTATCATTGCATATGTTCAGATTCATGGTTAACTCTCAGCCAGATTTTCTACCTATGTAATTTCATTCTAAATTCAATAATCTGCCAAAGTCATTCACTCTCTTCATTACTTGAACCAGATTCCCAATTCCTGGTGGCCTAACAATAGTTTCCCTGTGAACCTGATCCGCAAGGTAGGAACTCATTCTGTTTCACAACTCTGTAACACAGCAGATTAAATAAACTTATCATTTTTTGCTTTTTTGCTCTTCCCCTGTCCTATAAAAACTTGCTAATCTTCCATTATCATCACAGAACCCTGGAACTTTAGAACTGGAAATAACAAACATCATGCAGTTCAAAAGATTAAATGTTTTCCTCAAAGTTAGAGAACTACAAAGTTAGTTATCTAACTACAAAGCTACAAAGTTAGGTTACATCAATTCCTGTAATCCCAGCACATTGGGAGGCTGAGGCAGGTGGATCACTTGAGGTCAGGAGTTCAAGACCAGCCTGGCCAACATGGTGAAACCTCACCTTTACTAAAAATACAAAGTATGAGCTAGGCATGGTGGTGCATGCCTGTAATCCCAACTACTTGGGAGGCTGAGGCAGGAGAATCACTTGAACCCAGGAGGCGGAGGTTGCAGTGAGCCGAGATCGTGCCATTGCACTCCAGCCTGGGTGTCAAGAGCAAAACTCCATCTCAAAACAAACAAAAAAAAAGGCAATAAAAATGAAAAACTAAAACTAAAATAATTGTAATTATTAGCTACATCTTAATTTCAGCCATGGCGTTATATATTTATTCGATGCCTCAGTATAATGTCTAACACCATGGCTGAAATTGATATAAACATATATATATATATGTAAGTCTTCATAGAAACCCCAAGAGAAGGAAGGCAGGAGGGAGGGAAAAAGTATGCCCACAGCAAGACTGAAGAGACTGAAGTTCAGAAGGTTACGTAAGTCATAACTAGTAGTGCCTTAGTTGAGATTTGACCTAGGTCCACCTGGATCCAAACAAGATGCTGCGTTTTTCTATGATATCACACAGTTAAAAAGGGATAACATTTACCTATGAGTCTCAAATTTACATACAAATGAACTGTGATAAAACAGAACGCAACTACAGCTACCAATATTTTTGTCCAAAATTGATCATTTATTTGTATGTTTCTATAAATAACTAAATTTAAAATTTACAGGGCCATATCTCTACACGAGTTTGTGAAATAATGTGCTTTCTGTGGGTAAAATGAATGATATCCAAGTGAATAAGGAGCAGAATATCATCAAATTATTAAAGGCCACATGTAATAACTAAACTGAGAAATGAAGGTAGACTGAATAGTATTTCACTGCTGAGAAAGAGACAAAGTAAGGAATTCTCCTTAACATTAAACTACCTCTTACCATAGGCACAAAGGTACCATTCTGATGAACCAGAGTTAGGCATTACCAAGACACATGGAATATGTTCAAGGCTAAGAGATACAGTTTTGTAAAGATGTTACTACTACACTTACGAAGCTGGGCGGTCTTGTCTCAGGTCAATGGTGAATACAACTGCATCTTCACCTGCAGATAAGAATGTACAGGGAGAATCTGGTTCCAGAGCCAACTGAAGGAAAAAAAACGGAAAAACATGAGATTTCCAAATATTACAATTAGAGGTCATCTAGTCCATTCCTATAACTTTAGCAAGGGCTGCACTTAAAATGTCCCAATAAGAGAAATGTCTACCTTTTTGTCATAAAATCCCAGGAAGGGAGACAATTTAAGCCACTTACCCTTGTTCTATGTAAATTATTTATAGCTTTGTTTATTCTATACAAGTCAAAGGACAGGTGACTTGCTATTTCAACTATCCCCAAGGGATATGAACAGAGATAGCAAAGAAAAACATCAGCCATTAGAGTTCATTTTACTTTTTTCCAGCCAGGGTCTCACTTTGTCACCCAGGCTGAAGTGCAGTGGCATGATCATGGCTCACTGAAGCCTCAACCTTGTGGGCTTAAGTGATCCTCCCACCTCAGCCTCCCAAGCAAGTAGCTGGGACAAGCATAAGGCACTACACCCGGCTGATTTTTTCACCTTTTTTTTTTTTTTTTTAACAGATGGGGTCTTGCTGTATTGCCCAGGCAGGTCTCAAATTCCTGGCCTCGAGCAATCCTCCCACCTGAGCCTCCCAAAGCACTGGGATTACAGGCATAAGCTACCACACCCATTCTAAAAATCAATTCCATATCCTTAGGTGCAGAGAGAAATGGTGCCCAACTTCATTCCTTACATCTTAGCTATAAAAATTAGTTATCTAATGGGTTGGGGGTAGACTTAAGAATCAATGAAATAGGTAATTTTCAAATATCCTGAGCCACCTTGGCTAGAAAAGTATACTCCAGGTCCACCTACTCTTTGCTTAGGGTATCTAAAGAGAGTACCATCCTCTTTTCATGGCACAAAAGAACACCATGCCTACCTTAAGGCTAGGCAGCTCTTAACTCCTCACTAGCTGCCACCATGATTATTTGGCCTATATTTCCAGCTTTAAATAGGGCTTTCAGAAACAGTGCTATTTGTGAACTGAGAGTTTAAGCTGGAAGGCTGAAGCTCTCACACATTAAGAATCAACCACTAGCACCTTGAAACTGTCAAAATACTCTAAAAAAAAACAGAATAAATATAAAAGGTTTAGAAGGCATAGGAGACTTCAAAGATCTCCAAACCAACTATGGCTTGGCCTAGGGGCCAAATACTGTAAGTGCATGATCTAGGGACCTTTCAAATACTTGCCTTCCTAGGAGTTTAGGGTGGCTGCTTTTGCTCCTTTCTTAACTATAAATCTTAAGGACTGACAGAGGTGAAGCATGTGACCACAACAAAGGTGACACAATGGGCAGAGGTAAGGGAGAACCTTTGCTGAGAACCACAGAGGATTTGGATTGCACAAACTTTGGAACAAGGTCTTACTTACCTTGTGAGACGCTCCCTTGTGCTGGGCCACACGTTTCGTATTCTTGCAACACTGTGTGGCAGATAGTTCTGCTACCCGAACCTGCCCGTCACGGGCACACATGGCCAGAGTGGAATCACCACTATTAGGAAGAAACTTGGCCTGAGGTATTAAAAATGAAAAAAACGACACACAAAAGAAATTAAAGAGGTAAACTTGAGAATGAAATATATGATGATGACCTCAGCTTACCCCCTTTTCTTACATGACGCTGGAAACTTAGCTTTCCTACTCTTGTACAGTTGGCTAAGACCAATTTCTTCCAGGAGTTAAAGGAAAGGGAGAGAAAAAACTTCCTCTGATCTAACAGAGCATTTCAGTTGGCCCTGAAAGATTAAACTGGTACATGTTAAGAGCTCAGGCGAACTAGGACTGTACCTAGCAGGGGAGAAAAGGAATAGAGGAGGAAAATCTACCTTGATTCAGAAAGCAAATATAATTTGCCACAAAGAAAAAGGAAAATAGGGGGGACATCAGGGAAGAAAATAAAACACCCTTAGGATAAACGGCTGGTACCAATACAGTAGATGGGGCTGAGAAAAATCTTTACAGAATAATAACAATATTAGCTAATATTTATCAAATGTTAATCTTTAAGTACCAGCCACAGTTCTAAATGCTTAGCTTCTATTGTTATTTAATCCTCATAACCCTATGTTATTAGTCCCATTTTTCAGATAAATTGAAGACAAAAGTAAAATAACTTGCCCAAGATTACAGAGCTAGTAAGCATTGGGCTAGACTTTGAACTCAGGCAGTTTAGTTCAAGAGCCTGTGCTTATACTACACTGCTTCCTACCAGCACACATTTAATAAGCTGCATGCATCCTACCTATGAGGTTTCCAACAGTCCATATGCTCAAGGAATCTAATGGTTGCCAAGAGTCTTTCAGTGTATTTAGGTCATTATGGGAGCCAAAGTAGGGCCAAGTCCCAATACCTAATTCCTACAACTCACTACCAGCTCTCATTCTACGCAGCAGTTCAGATTTGTCAAACTCATGCCTGATTCTCTCAGTTGCTATTATGCTCCCTTGCCTCACCTGGAACACATTACTTTTGTGGCCACTCTCAAAGTCCAGTACTGGCTGCCGCCGCACCCAATCCCACACCACCACCTTCAGGTCATCGCTGCCACTGGCCAGCCAGGTGCCGCGCTGGTTAAAGTGCAGGGTATTGACACAACCAGTATGGCCCTCAAGCCCATGCTGCAGGCGGAAACGCTGCACAAAGACTCTTGCCCCACAGGCCTCATAGACAAAGCGAGCACTTGAACCCAGCTCCCGTTCCCGAAGGGCAGGAAGGGCTTGCCAGCGAGGTCGGGGTAGAGCTGATGTTTCTGAGGACACCCAGTCTTCTAGGGCCCGCTCATCATCTGATGAGTCCTGGTCACGGTTAGCCCGTTTGCGCTGTACACGGCGCCGAGGCTGCTCTTCTTCCTCCTCTTCCTCCTCTTCCTCTTCCTCTGAGCGGTCATGGACTCGATTTTCTTCATTAATGGAGTAATGACCAGTGTCCTCCATGCTGTCAGAGTCCTTATCTTCACCTGAGCTCTCTGTGTCTGTGCCTCGACTTTCTGTGCTGGTGCGGTTGGGGCCACCATCATCCCCAGTCAAACTCAAACTCAGGTCTGAGGCCTCCACTTCAATGCCTGAGGATGTCTCCCTCCCCTCTTCAGTTCCAGACATCTCCTCTGGACTGCTAGACAGGCTTCCTGCAAGTTAGTGAGGAATGGGTAGATGAGAGGGAAAAATAAGAAAACAGGATAGTGATCAGAAGGACTTCCTTAGTCTAAGAAATCATCACATCAAAAGACCAAAAAAATGAACTTTGGTCAAAGTATTTTCATTACAAATGATTAAAAAGAGTATCCTCTGAGGGGAAATCTCACAAAAGACAAGAAACTGAAAGGATTAAGATCAAATACACACACAAAGTACTTCAACAAAAGCAAAGGAACTGATAAAAATCACTTTCATCGATCCTATCTCCTATAACTACGTACTGTATTCTCTTAGCTCACGATAGTCAATTCCAGTGATCACTTGAGCAATGTTCTAGAGCCAATACTGCCACAACTCCACAATCTAAGATTACATCAAGTTCTCAAGAGGCAAAACATTAGCATATTGTATAAAAGTGTACCTGACACATCTACCATAGGCTCTGTTGTATTGGATGGGCATTTATTAAGTTATAGCAAATAATTAAGCAGAAATAAAAAGAACAGCTAACTCCAGCAAGAACTAGTATAGCCATCTTCTTAGCCTAAGATGGAAACTAACTGATAAAAATCACTGACTTATGGATGTGGAGTTGCACCATTTTCTGCTTTAAGAAAGTACTACTACACCTCCTGTCACCTAAATCTTAAGTTTCTTCCCCTAAGTGTCTAAAATGCAGAAAGAAATTTCAAGAAAGGAATATGAAGGGGTAAGTGGGAAATATGATCATTTGAGTGGGTTCTTGCTCACCTTTTGCTAGTAAATATATTTTGACTTACTTCCATTAGTTTGAATTTTTCAATACAATTTTTAGTCACTTTATTGAGACGTTTTATTAGGAAGCATATATAAAAGTGATAAAAAGCTAGGCTACTATAGTGGTACCTAAGAAGAAAGTTCAGTATATTCTAGATCTGCTATGTTGGTAGTTAAATAACTAGGTCACTTTCATTGATCTTATCTCCTATAACTACATACTGCATTCTCTTATCTTACAAAAGCCAAGTCAATTCCAGTGAGCATCTGAGCAATGTTCTAGAGCCAATACCACCACAACTTCCAATCTAAGTCAAGATGTGAAGAAAAAAAGGGGAGAATAAAGATTTTAAATGCTGCTCAAGGGCCTCCTTTCCTCAGATGGCTATAAATTTTATCCTTCCAGAAGTAAAAGCTGTCAGGAAAGGCAGACCAGGTGTGTGTTAACTCCAGTATGAGCTATTCAACTCCAATACCATAATAATGTTTAAGAATTCAAAGGTGGAGCACCTTACTGTCTAGTCATGTGGATTAAAACAGTAATTTGTAAAGATCTCTGAAACAATGCAAATCCTTTTCAATGAATTCTTAGGCAAAACCCAAAACTGAAAAAAGATCAATACAAGTGCTTTGATTCAAGCAGTAACAGAAGGGTGGGAGACATAAATAAAAGTCTTTTTTTTTTTTTTTTTTTTGAAAAAACAAAAGACCTCGACTAAGAGCACACTATAAAACAACTGGGCTAGGGGCTGGAAGAAAAGTAAAAAAGTACAGAAATTTGAACCCAAGAACCAAACATTTGCTGAGTCTGTTATATATGCTAAGAAAGTTTAGCAGTTACAGTTTTTTGAAATGCAGCTGGGTTTGAGCTTGGGAGTGGTAAGCAGGGACTGAAATACCACACCTAACAGGTCTATAGAAAAGAAAAAAAGGAAAACACCAAAACATCCAGCATTTATTGTTAAAATTACAAGTGACAAATATTGACAATTTTAAAGGCTTTACCACATTAACGTAAGGGCCAGAGTGTATCACAAGCTCATCAAGAAGGCCCCAAGAGTAAATCACCAAGATCTAGTGTAGGTGTTTACAAATTTTTTCAGTAAAGGGCCAGAGAGTAAAACTTTCAGGCTTTTCAGAACATATGGAGCTCCACCACAACCTCTCAACTCCATTATGCAGAACAAAAGCAACTCATAACACTACATAAACAAACAGGCATGACTGTGTTCTAATAAACGAGTGGCAGACTGGATTTGGCTTGTAAGTTATCCTGACCTAGCTAATGGTGAAGCTCCAAATCAACAGTATACTTCAGCTCCTCTAGAACCCCATGCCCTTCAACTAAACCCAGTGAAAAATATGAACCACTTTCCTTTACAAAAGATGAATAGGCCATGGAGATGGCTCACACCTGTAATCCCAGCACCTTGGGAGGCCGAGGCGGGCTGATCACTAGGTCAAGAGATCAAGACCATCCTGGCCAATGTGGTGAAACCCCGTCCCTACTAAAAACATAAAAAATTAGCTGGGCGTGGTGGTGCGTGCTTGTATCCCAGCTACTTGGGAGGCTGAGGCAGGAGGATCGCCTGAACCTGGGAGTCGGAGGGTGTAATGAGCCGAGATCGTACCACTGCACTCCAGCCTGGTGACAGGGCAAGACTCCATCTCAAAAAACAAAACAAACAAAAGATGAATAAATGGCAGTGATAAGAACATGTGAAGCAATAAAAAAGCACATTGAAAATCTCGCGGCTCCTTCCTTTCAATCACATCAACTAGAATTTAGCCTGTTATCCTGACCTTCAAGGTGCTAAGGAATGCTGAACTCTGCTGCCCAGCTATATACATTTGAAGGCAGCTTCTCTAACTTAAAAGTTGTCTCAGAGGTGAAGCATTGGTTAAATAACCCAGGTGCTAGTTACACTCTATTAGAATTTTTATATTCTGCCTTCAAATCTGCCCTAAAGCCAGTGATTTGACACCTGGCAGCACTCATCCAGAAAAGAGGAAGGAGGGAAAGGAAGGAAGGAGAGAAATGGAAAGAAGGGAGAGGAAATTAGGGAACTAAATAAGGAGGGGAAAGAAATCCCATTCCTAGTTGGGTTTTAACCTCATCCCTTATGTAACTGCTTTTTTTTTTTTTTTTTTTTAAAAGAGATGGGGTCTCACTATGTTGTCTAGGCTAGTCTCAAACTCCTGGGCTCAGGCCATCTGCCCGCCATCTTCCCTAAAATTCCCTTGTTCTTACCACCCATTGGATCTTATTTTTCTCCTTTATTAACAGCATTTCCTAGGTTCTGCCCATCCTTATAGCCTTACAGAACTCCAAACCACTCGACCTCTTAGAAGTAAAGCTCTGTTATTGATCTTCTGAAAATGATCAGATAAAATCAGAAGAAGCAAAAGTACAATACAGTCCAAGGTGTTTCCTGTGTAGTTTCCTATACTCAAAACAACACAGGAAAGTTTCCTTCCCTCCAATAAAATCCAGGCCTCCACTCTCGCTTGCAGGGAGGAGAGCCTCGGCTGATAGTAAAAATAGCTTCACCTTCATTTTGGCCCCTTACCATTAGCTAAGTCTGTTCTGCCATCTGTGCTGCTCCCTTTGCTGGACATCTTGAATGATGTTTGCTGTAGCCAGCCTGGGTTTGGGGAGGAAGAAACCAAAACAATTAGGAAACCACCTGGGAAAGAAAATAGGGACAAGGAGATTTAACAATGTACAAGGTTTTATCACTTTTATAAAAATGATTTCTGTATGCGTGCTTAACAGGGCTTCTCAGCTTGTGAAAGACACACCAGAATTTTTTCTTCCCTATGTTTAAATTCCATATAATGACATATTTGGGGGGAGGTCAAGTACCATCTCTTTACTTCCTTCACTGAGTTAACTGGCAGTGAATTTTCAGATGGGAAAGTGGGAACTAAAATAAAACCTGGAACAGCAGGCACATATCAAGTGACAGGTACTGCATGCAAAGAGTCTCAACTCAATACATAAAGCTAACTTCAGCACTGCCCTCTAGGCAAGAATCTTCCAATGTAAATAAATGACATATGTGTCCTCAAACTCCATAAAACACTTGTTTTCACAACATAAAGAGATGGGTCAGATTCTGAATATAATTTTACACATAATCAACAGATAGAAGAAATTAAACTCCTGGGGGAAGAGCGTGAGCTTTCTGTTCACTCAGATGACTAACTTCAAGCTTACAAGGGCAGAAGAGCTACTAAAGATTATAAGAAGAGCTGGAACTAGAAATCAGGAACACCCAATCCCTAGGAAGGAACCTTGTTTTGTTTCTCTTAGGACGAACAGTCAGTCTCTAAGCACAAAGACAAAGGTGGGGAAGAAATGCAACATTTCCACTAAATCATCTCACCCCATTTCATTTAATGACAAACATTGTTTCACCTAAATCTACCAACTTTAACCAGACTCAACTTTTCTTAACAAGGAATCAGGGTATCTAACTTATTTCCTTTTATGCCACTATAAAACGTTCTTATTTTTTTCAGAGCCTCGCTGCCACCTCCAGTAAATTCCAAAGAGCAAAGAATAATATTATTCAGATCAGAATTTTGTTAGGCCCTTTCAGTGACTTGGACAAAAGGCACTGGTAAAAGACAAAGTATAATTATGACCCCAGTCCTTGTATCCAGGCACACTGGCCTCTAATCTTTCAACAGCCCTTTCATTCCCATAACAATTATTCCAGAAGCAGCCTCATCCTTATCCTTGCCCCCACTACCCTCTACAGAAATCTAAGCTGTTTTATTAAAAGTATCCTCTGTTAAGAGACAGTGGGCCAAAGATTGTTCACAATAGGCCAAGGTGGGAGTAGAAATACTAAAAGAGTGGGGCTGAGGCTGACTGAATTTCAGGAAAGGACACCTGGAAGGGTGATGATGAAAGACAATGCCAACAAAAAACAGATCCATGAAGCAACCCAAACAAAAACAATGAAGAGCTGTTTGCAATGCATTTTGTTTTCCTCCTTTTTGAGGTAGAGAGTTTTGTATAGCATTCCTCACACAGCATTTGTTTCTCCCTCTCAACAGTCCTTGTTTATATTCTTTAGCAACAGAGCATGTCTTCTCCATCTATAGTTTAAAATTTTATTAATTGAAAAAGTCTTATCAAGTGGGAAAAATGACTGCACACTTTGTTAAGATTAAAAATTAAGGTAATAAGCAGACCAGTATAACATGAACAGATCTGGTATTTTCCCACCTCCATAATCAAAACTCTTTACCATAGGTTTTACCCCACTATTATCCACTCCCACAGAATTAAAAGCAGCTCTAGAGAATCTCTCTCAAAACCAAATATCAACTCCTACAGGAGCCCAGACTGCCTGAACTTTTGACTCATAATTGCTCTAGAAAATACATGTGCACAGATGATAAAAGTAAGTAGAATTAAATGTCAAAACTTCTGCAGAAGGATACTCTACAGCAGTGGTCTCCAAACTGCTTATTAACCTCTATCAGTGAAAACTTTGAGCATGAACCTGATGTTCAAAGGTGTGGCATGCACCTGTAATCACAGCTACTCAGAAGGCTGAGGAAGGACTGCTTGAAATCAGAAATTCAAGACCAGCCTGGGCAGAATGGTGAGATCCCCATCTCAGTCAACCAATGAAGGAGGCAGAGATGATATGCCCTAGGTGTCAAGCATAGGAGCCACTGAAGAATCTTTTCCAGTCAGGCACGGCAACTCATGCCTGTAATCCCAGCACACTGGGAGGCCGAGGCAGAAGTTGGAGACCAGCCCAGGCAACATAAGAAGACCCCTGTCTCTACAAAAAATAAAAAAAAACCAGTCAGGACTGGTGGCATATGCCTGTAGTCCCAGCTACTTGGGGTAGGGCTGAGGTGGAAGGATCACATGAGCCACAGAAGTTGAGGCTGCAGTGAGCTGTGATTATACCACTTCTCTCTAGTCGAGACAGTCTGCAAAAATTAAAATTAAAAATTGGCTAGGCTCGGTGGTTCACGCCTGTAATCCCAGCACTTTGGGAGGCCAAGGCGGGTGAATCACAAGGTCAGGAGTTCAAGACCAGCCTGGCCAACATGGTGAAATCTTGTCTGCTAAAAATACGAAAAATTAGCCGGATATAGTGGCAGGCCCCTGTAATCCCAGCTACTTGGGAGGCTGATGCAGGAGAATTGCTTGAAACTGGGAGGCAGAGGTTGCAGTGAGCTGAGATTGTGCCACTGCACCTCAGCCTGGGTGACAGAGTGAAACTCCATATCAAAA